TCCTCACATTTTTGCATATAATTCTTTATATGTGGCTCCCCCTCTCTCCCAGAATAATTTTTTTGTATTACTGTAGCGCCTAGAAGCCCCAGTCACGGACCAGGACCCCATTGTGCTAGGCATCATGAGCAACCCTACATAAACAAACCAAGATGCATTTAGACTGGAAGGGGGGAGGGGGAACAACAGGGATTAAACTTGTGCAAAAGGTTATTTCATTGCATTTTTAAATGCCTTGATTTTAGCATCTTAGCAGTGATACATAACCGTAATTACCGTTATAAGAGAAGTTACGTTATAAATAAAACACCATAGAACCACAGAAATCAGAGCTGGAAAAGACCAGTTAGGTTACCTAGTCCACAGCCACTGCTTCTGTAGCTCTGTCCCTGTGCTGTGGTCTGCGTAGTGCAATCATGTAACTCAATGACTCAGGCCACGGGGGTTCCACCACTTTCCCAACAATCTAATAGACCTTGTTTTTAGGATTTGTTTTTTCTAATTTTCAGCCTCAGTTTCCCCTGCTCAATTTCTTTTTATTCCTCCTAGTGATATACCTCTTTGGATCGCACAATCTGTGGCTGTACAGTCGCAAGTGGCTCTTGGACGCTGATGTGATTGTGATCCAATCCTAATGCACATGAAGTACCATTGAACTAGTGGGACTGGAGTGGCCAGGATCCCTGCAAGCAGACAGGAATGAGACGGTAAGAAGGATGAATAATTATGAGACCGAAACACAGGAGTTTATCAATCAGACTACAAACACCTACTGAATTCTGTTTGCAGTGCTGTTGTGGCCATGTTGGTCCCAGGATATTAGAGAGACATGGTAGGTGAGGTAATATCTTCTGTTGGACCAACGTCTGTTGGTGAAAGAGACCAGCTTTTGAGCTTCCACAGAGCTTTCCTTCAGGTCTGGGAAAGCTACTCAGAGTGTCACGGCTAAATGCAAGGTGGAACACGTTGTTTAAGCATGAGAAGTTAACACGTACTGAATTTTGTTTCATGTCTACTTTTAGGCATGCACTTTACAAGCTCTATGCTGCTCTTGAGCCACATGAGAAATTTTCCTGATGTCAATGGGGGCTGCAACCATGGATTGAGGGCATGCTATGGCCCTGTCTGTGTCACAGCATCAGTGTAAAGACCAAATGCTGAATTTAGCACAGTTTATGTTACCAACTAGCACCTGGAATTAATACATCTTCCTTCTCAAAAAGAATCATTAACTATACATGGGCCCACTTCTGAGGAGGAGACCAGCCTACAGAACACTGAACAAGAGAGCGGGAGGGAAAATTTTGGTTAAAGACATCAGGGCATAGCCCCACTGCTTGTCCACCGAGAGATCAAACAGGAACTCATTATGAAGACACACACACAAGGCACTGAGTGGAACTCAGTTTATCATCTCCCTTGGGAAGATGAATGGATTTGAACCTGGGGTGCAAAAAAATGTTTGCCTTCCCAACTGTGGGCCTGACTCAGTGAAGTGCTGAGCACTCAACTCCAGTGGGCAATGAGGACAATAAGCACTTCTCAGGATCACGCCCCTGGTGCTTAGAATATTAGGTTATTCCCCTCCAGCATGGGATAATACTCTAACCAGGTGTTCTCCCCCTTTTTCTTTCTTCCCCACAACATGCTATAAAAACTCCACGGCCCACCTGTGCCACAACTGTTTTTCTGCATATAAAAGCATAGGTGCTGGAACTAGGGGTGCTGGGGGTGCAGCCACACCCCTTGGCTTGAAGTGGTTTCTATCATATACAGGGTTGAGAGTTTGGTTCAATGGTTCACAGCACCCCCATTATACAAATTGTTCCAGTGCCCCTGTATAAAAGCCAGGGCTGGAATTAGGGGGTAGCGAGCAAGGCAATTGTCCGGGGCCCCCGCGAAGCTAAATTGCTCAGGCTTCGGCTTCACCCCCAGGTGGTAAAGCTCGGGGCAGAGGGGCTTCAGCTTTCTGCCCTGGGCTCCATGCTGACCCTGCTTGGTGGACCCCCCTGAAACCTGCTCCCGGCCCCCAAGGGGGCCTCAGACCCCGGGTTGAGAACTGCTGCTCTAACCACTAAAGAGAGAAGAAACCAGTCATGTGTGAGTACAGTCATGCTAGAAAACAGGGTTATTCCATACAATAAACTGTCTCCCCATGTCGGAAATTACAAAACAGCAGCTCAACGGAGGATGCAGAAAGGGGTTTAGTATAGAAGCAGCTGTGAAACTAGTTAACTTCCTAATTGACCGCATTTACATCAAAGCGGTTGCAAACCAGTTCCCCTTTTAAGACAAAAGACTCTTCCCTCCCATGCACTCTCATCAAAACCCCTGGGGTTGGGCAGGGCAGAATTTGGTCCATGGTGAGCAAAGAAAATTATTCAGGATCCAGACTATGTATATGTTGCAAGACTAGACCTGGGCTGAACAGGTTTCAATGACATGGTGAATAAAATGGCAGCAGCTGCTGATACCTTGTCTACACTGGAACGCCTACTGCCGGTACCACTAGTGGAGCTGTACTGGAAGCATCAACAGTGGCAAATTTGAATGGGAAAAGCCTAGTATCAATACAGCTGTAGGCACTCATCCTCCAACTTCTTGCACACAGGTGGACTGAAGCACTTGTCTGGAGTTACACAGTCACTCCAGGCAGAAGCCCCACTGAAATCAATGCAGGGGCAGTAAGTCCATCCTCTTGCAAGTAGTTGCAGGACTGGAGCCTGAGTATCTGAATGGCTGCAGAGGGGCAAGACTTTTTTCTGGATTGCCATCTAGCCCCCTCAAAATTCACAGGAGATGCCTGATTTTTTAGAGGCTATTCCATGCCCCATAAAACTACCGTTAGGATATTAACGCTTCATACATGTGTACTCTGAGCTGGGTGCTGGGCCAGAACACCGTGATTTGGGGCTGTCACAGAAACGCCATTGTGATTTTGCAATATCATGGTGTGACTCAGATTCCGTCTCAGATAAAAATAACAAGGATCTTGTGAGTTCTTCCTAGTCAGAAAATGGTGTGTTTCAATGTCATCTTTTTCATACATTGCCAGAACAGAATACACAGGTCTGGAAATATTACTGAAAATACAATCATCTAAAAGAGATCAAACCTTTGCATAGGGGATGTGAATAGGCTTTCTGCTGCTGGTATCTAGAGCTGAGGATTGCTGATTTTTGACAGTAACGACAATAATGTAGATTAGTAAAGGAGGGAAGGCAGCAGGGATAAAGGTTTATAGAGTATTATATTGTGGTATTATACAGCAAGCACAGTTTAAAGTGGGGGTGGGGGAACAACAGGGATTAAACTTGTGCAAAAGGTTATTTCATTGCATTTTTAAATGCCTTGATTTTAGCAGAACACCATGGTCAGTGTGTGCCTGCCTGTATGTGACTGTGTATGTGTGCAGGTGAATGTAACTGTGTGTCTGTCTTAACCTGTGTGTTTATGTGATTTGTGCATGTCTCCATGTGACAATGTGTGTATGTGAATGTGACTGTGTGTCTGTGTTAAAATGTGGGTTTTTATGTGATTTTTGTGTGTGCGCCTCTAGGTAACATGGTGGGTTTATGCACGTGAATGTGACCGTGTTAAATTGCGTGTGTTTGTGTGACTGCGTGTCAGGGTCTGTGTATGTGTGTGTTTTAAAGAGTGTATGGGAATGTGATTCCTGGGTGTCAAGGTATGGGGGGGAGGGTCAAAATGTGTGTTTTATGTGCATGTGTGTCAGAGTGTGTGTTGGGGGGGTGTCAATATATGTTTGTGTATATGAGGGGGGAGATTGGTATGTATGTCAGATCTGGCTGTGTGTGTATCAGGGTGTGTGAAAGGGTCACTGTGGGAGAGGGTTGGGCTGGGTGTGTATCAGGAGTGTCAAGGGGCTCACTGTTTGTGTGTGGATCAGGCATTGTGTGTATCGGGGGTGCTGAGGGGCACTGTGCGTGTGTGTGCAAGATCAGGCTGTTTGTATCAAGGGGGCACTGTGTGGGCCAGAGAGACTGGGCTGTGTGTGTGTATCAGTGGGTGTGAAGGGGTCACTATGTTGCGGGGATCAGGCTGTGTGTATCAGAGGTGTGGAGGGGGTCATTGTAGGGGGGATCGGGCTGTGCATGTATCAGGGTGTGTGGAGGGGTCACTATGTGGGGGGATCAGGCTGTGTGTGTACCAGGAAGTGTGGAGAGATCACTGTGTGTATGTGGGAGATTGGGCTGTGTATCAGGGAGTGTGGAGGGGTCACTGTGTGTGT